AAGAGTCTGTGCAGGCAAGGTCACTCCTGTTCCAGAGGGCTCCAGGTGTTCTTACTGAGCAGGTGTTCTTACTGAGTATGTGCAGCCTTGACACAACGGTGGGTTGCCTCATCTTTTGTTTGTTGAATGCTGAGGGTGGTTCCAATGGCTGGGTCATTCATAGATTCGTAGATGTTAGGGTCAGAAGGGACTTCAATAGATCATCGAGTCTGACCCCCTGCATAGGCAGGAAAGAATGCTGGGTTCAGATGACCGCAGCCAGATGCCCATCCAACCTCCTTTTGAAGACACCAGGGTAGGGGAGACCACCACCTCCCTTCGGAGTCCATTCCAGATTTTGGCCACTAACTGTGAAGAAGTTGTTCCTAATGTCCAGTCTAAATCTGCTCTCTGCTAGCTTATGACCATTATTTCTTGTAACCCCCAGTGGCACCTTGGTGAGTAGAGCCACACCAATTCCCTTCTGATCCCCCATGATCAATTTATAGGCAGCCACAAGGTCACCTCTCAACCTTCTCTTTCGGAGGCTGAAGAGGTCCAGGTGCCTTAGTCTCTCCTCATAGAGCTTGGCATGCAAGCCCTTAACCATACGAGTGGCCCATCTCTGGACCCTCTCCAAGTTATCCACATCCATCTTAAAATGTGGCACCCAAAACTGGATGCAGTATTCCAACTGCGGTCTGACTAGTACCCGATAGAGAAGTATCACCTCCTTGGTTCTGTTTGTCTGCATCTGCTGATGCACAAGAAAGTGGTGTTAGCTTTGCTGATGACTTCATCACACTAATGTTTATCTTGGAGTCCACTAGGACTCCTAGATCCTTTTCCACTTCCATGCTGCCGAGCAGGTCATTTCCTAGGCAGTAGGTTTGTTGGATATTTTTCCTCCCTAGGTGCAGCACTTTGCATTTCTCCTTGTTAGATCGCATTCTATTGTTTTTTGCCCATTTGTCTAACCTGTCCAGGTCTGCCTGTAGTTGTTCCCTGCCCTCTGGTGTGTCTACTTCTCCCCACAGTTTTGTATCATCCACAAACTTGAACAGAGTACACTTCACTCCCTCATCCAAGTCACTGATGAAGACATTGAAGAGTATCGGTCCAAGGACCGAGCCCTGCGGGACCCCACTGCCTACGTCCTTCCAGGTCAATACCAACCCATCCACCACCACTCTCTGGGTATGACCCTTTAGCCAATTTGACACCCACTGGATTGTGTAATCACCCAAGTCACAGCCTCTTACTTTGCTCACCAGTATGGGGTGGGATACTGTATCGAAGGCCTCCTGAAGTCTAAGTAAACGATATCTACCCCTACTCCTGAGTCCAGGTGCTTCATAACCTGGTCATAAAAAGAGACTAGATAAGTCAGGTATGGTTTACCTGCTACAAACCCATGCTGGTTTCCCCTCAGCATAATTTTTCCTGCTGGGCTCTCACCTATGTGAGCCTTAATAATCTTTTCAAAGACTTTACCAAGGATGGAGGTGAGACTGACTGGCCTGTAGTTGCCTGTCAGGATCCTCCTTCCTCCCCTTCTTGAAAATAGGAACCATATTGGCCCTTTTCCAGTCCTCCGGGACCTGGCATGTGTGCCACAAGTGCTCAAATATTCTTGCCAGTAGCTGTGCAATGACATCAGCCAGTGCCTTCAGTACCCTTGGATGGACCTCATCTGGGCCTGCTGACTTAAATGCATCCAGTCCTTCCAAGTGACTCTGCACCATCTCAGGGTCAGCACTTCGTAGTCTGGTGCCCAGCTAGACTCTCTATGTTGTCTCTCTATGAACCCATTGTGAGACTTGTTTTGCCCCTCATTTAGGAACACTGAGACAAAGAACTCATTGAGCAGTTCAGCCTTGTCTCCCCCTGTTTATCACCAATTGCTTTTGCCTATTCAGTAGTAGTCCTATACCACCTTGAAAAATATATCTGAAAAACAGATAGTATCTTTGGCCTTTCTAACTGCCTCCCTACAACTGCAAGCTGAGGAGGCATACTCCTCTTTGGTAATTTCTCCCTGTTTCCACTGCTTATATGCCCTGCTTTTTGCCCTTAGGCTGCTCTGGATTTCTCTGGTCAGCCAAGGAAGCCTCTTGGCCCCATTTCCCCCTTTCCCTTACATTGGGATCATCTCCCTCTGTGCCCAAAGGATCGCTTCCCTAAGGCACAGCCACCCTTCCTGGGCTCCCATCTCACCAAATCTCTTACTCTGCAGTGCATCATTGACTAAACGCTTGAGGTCACTGAAGTCAGCCTTTCTAAAGTCTAGCACTTCCACCCTACTAGTTACCTTTCCCACTCTATGCCTTATGGTGAATTCTATTATTTGGTGTTCACTGTCCCCCAGGTGACCACTGATCTGTAGGTGCCCTATCATGTCATCCCCCCTTGCCAATACCAGGTCCAGTACGGCATTCCCCCTAGTGGGACCATGTACCTGCTGTGTCAGGTGGAGGTCCTGTGCACAGGATAGGAACCTGTGTAAATGGAGGGAATTTGCTGTCTGTGTCTCACAGCAGATGTCATGGTAGTTCAGGTCCCCCATGACTACCACTTCTCTAGTCTTTATGTTTTCTGAGAGCTGCCTCAGGAGTTCCAAATCTAGTTCTTCCCCTTGGTGTGGGGGTCTGTAGCAGACCCCTACCACCAAATCCCTTTCCCCTTGACCTCCATGTATCCACAATCCTTCTACTTTCTCCTCCTCTAATTCCATTTTGATAAGGGTCGATGTATAATGCTCCTTGCCATAAAGCACAACCCCTCCTCCTCTCTTCCTTACTTTATCCTTTCTGTACAGCTTATAGCCCTCAGTGTGTACTACCCAGTCAAGGATAGAATTCCACCAGGTTTCAGTTAAACCCACTAAGTCATAAAGTTGGTCCAGGTATTGGTGTTGATAGTTCGGTCATTCAGAAGTTGCTATTTTTCGACCTACTTCCATTGTCTCTCAAGCACCCTCATTCATTCCCATTCATTCAGGAACCAAGTTACATAGGAGGGGTAGTATGAGTTATAGGTTACACAACTAGGCATGGGGATAAGATGGAGGCTTGACATTACAAAATGGAAACTTGACATGACTTATGCTAACTTACATATATAGGCCTAAAACAGTAATCACACAATATAAAAGCAGCAAAAAATCAACACAAACATAATAATTATCACTTATAAACCAGTGGCTATCTATATTAAAATATCAAGGCACTTATTTGCAAAGGGAGAGAAATAAAACTTACTACCTAAAATAAAATGTTAAAGCTTATCTTACATCTTAGCTTACTTACACTTATCTATAGGGACTAGACAGGGAGAGACAAAGTCAGAAGTGGTTGGGGAAGGGGAGGGAATGCATATTAAAAAAATTAAAATAAAAACCGGCATGTTTGCTACAATGCCAATACATCAGCCTACCAGAGATTATGAAGAAATGATTAGCACAAGGGACAGGAAGGCATGCTCAGAAAATTAAATCAATTCATGTTCTTTTCCTGTCTACTTCATTCTGAAGTTAACAGTATCTCAGTCATCATATTTAGACATATTTCTGCTATTTTTGTCATATATTCTGATATACATCTCACAGTCCTTGCTCAGGCAAGAATTGTCACTAAAATAAAGGGGCCAGTAAAACCTGCAGTGTTTGCCCTGAGATTATAATGTATTGTGTCTCCTTAGAGAGCTCACTGATAAGCTAATGGATCATTTGGGGTAATTCTACAGCCATAGAAGACATTAGTCTATATGCAGGCTATCTTGATGCATATATTGTACCAGTGGCCACTAAGATATAGGTAAATTCAGTACAGTTTCAATACAGTTCCTTTAAAGGTTCTAGTAACACACTCAATTTTCTAAAGAAATAAGAAACCAGATTGTGAAAGGGCCTCCAGTTTGCGTGACAAACAACACTTAAGAATGGACTTCTTCAAATGGACTTGAACTGCATTTGTCTTCATGAATCAGCTCACTGTTATCAAGCCACACTGTAGAACATTATAACTGTCTGTCTTTGAAATCTTTGACAAATATTGTCTAAAAGGTTTTTTTCCATGGTATATCATTGCACATCCGTAGAGTATCTTATCATTTTAAAAATGGATGGGGCTGGATCTCAACAGATGACATATAGGGAAGCACATATATATGGGCTATTCCTATTTTACTTTGGATGCCATTATTGACCATTGCTTTTGTTTGCTCGTCTATAAGATAAAACTGAAGTTAATGCTGTTAATATCTGTCCATAGTAGGTTAGAAAAGTTTCATATAGATAACTGGGGGCCAACAACTACTCAATATGGGTTACTACATTATAGGGGAAGAGAAACTCCATGAATCTTAGCATGTTTTACACATTGCCTTTAGGCTATATTAAGTGTTGTGGAATGTTAAGCAGTGTTCATGATAAAATGAACTTTGAACAGTCACATGTTAAAGCTTAATACCATCCCTGACTTGTGCAACTGTGACTTGTCACTAGAGGACTGGTGAGCAGAGGCATGACTAAGGAGGTACACAGCCCCACCAGGGGAGATGCCTTGTTGGACCTGGTCCTGGCCACGGGTGACAATCTGGTGGGGAGACTGCGAGTGCTCAACCACCTGGGCAACAGTGATCATCATCTGCTGGAGTTCACTATCCAGTGCAAGGTGGCAAAGGCCTCCGGCAAGGCATCAGGTCTGGACTTCAGGAGGGCAGACTTCAACAAGGTAAGAAGACTAGTGGGGGAGGCACTGAGGTCCCCAAGCAGGGGGGAGTTGGGTGTCCAGGAAGAGTGGTCGTTCCTTAAGCAGATGATCCTCCAAGCCCAAAGGGAAGTAATTCCTACATGGATCAAAGGGGGCAAGAGGGTGCAAAGGCCCCCATGGCTCACCAAAAACATCCAGAAACATTTCCAAGCTAAAAAGGAGGTGTACACCCATTGGAAAGGAGGGGCCATCACCAGAGAGGACTATACCTCCATTGCTTGGGATTGTAGTGGGGCAGTCAGGAAGGCCAAGGCAGAAATGGAACTGGGACTAGCAACTTGGATCAAGGACAAGAAGTCCTATTTTAAATACATAGGGGGTAAAAAGAAGGTACCAGGTAACATGGGGCCTCTGCAGGACATGCTAGGAAATCTGGTCGTCGCACCAGACAGCAAAGCTGACTTATTTAACAATTTCTTTGCCTCCATATTTCTGAGGAGGGATCTGGTCAGCTCCCCCACTGGGACCTCTGCGGGCCCTGTGGGCAACACACCCAAGCCTAGTGTCAGCGAGGACCTAGTCATGGAACTTCTGGAGGCACTAGACATATTTAAATCAGCAGGTCCCAATGATCTTCACCCCAGAGTGCTGAGGGAACTAGCAAAGGTTATTGTGGGACTTCTGGCACAGCTTTACAAGCACTCATGGTGCTTAGGCAATGTGCCGGATGACTGAAAAAGGGCCAATGTGGTCCCCATCTTCAAAAAAGGGAGGAAAGAGGACCCAGGTAACTATAGGCCTGTGAGTCTTACCTCAGTCCTGGGGAAGCTTTTTGAGAGAATTATCCTGGTGCATGTCCACGAGGGGCCAGCAAGGGAAACCATGCTCAGAGGCAACCAACATGGCTTCATTAGGGGCAGGTCTTGTCAGACCAACCTGGTGACTTTTTATGACCAGGTCACCAAATCTATAGAGGCAGGTGTCACAGTGGATATAGTCTTTCTGGACTTTACATAGGCCTTCAACATGGTCTCTCACCCCATTCTCATAAAAACAAACAAACTAGGAGACTGTGGTGTTGATGCCTACACAGTCAGATGGGTCACTAACTGGCTGGTGGTCCACACCCAGAGAGTGGTAGTAGATGGGTCTTATTCAACCTGGAGGGATGTGGGCAGTGGGGTTCTGCAGGGTTTGGTCCTTGGGCCTGCACTGTTCAACATCTTCATCAGCGACTTGGACAAGGGGGTAAAAAGCACCCTGTTCAAATTCACAGATGACACCAAGATGTGGGGAGAAGTGGGCATACTAGAAGGAAGGAATAGGCTGCAACTGGATCTAGACAGGTTACAGGGCTGGGCCAATGTGAACAGGATGGGGTTCAACACTGACAGGTGCGGGGTAATGCACCTGGGGAGGAAGAACCAGCAGCATACCTACAGGCTGGGGAACTCCCTTCTCAACATTGAAGAGGCAGAAAAAGACCTAGGAGTCATCATTGACACCACAATGAACATGGGCCGACAATATGAGGATGTGTTTAAGAAGGCCAACCATAACTTGTCGTGCATCCACAGATGCATCTCGAGCAGGTCCAAGGAGGTGATCCTCCCCCTCTATGCAACACTGGTAAGGCTGCAGTTGGAGTACTGCATCCAGTTCTGGGTGCCGTACTTCAGGAGGGATGTGGACAGCATGGAGAGGGTCCAAAGGAAGGCCACCCACATGATCAGAGGTCAGCAGGGCAGGCCCTATGAGGAGAGGCTACAGAACCTGAACCTGTTCAGCCTCCATAAGAGAAGGCTGAGGGGGGATCTAGTGGCAGTTTACAAACTAGTCAGGGGAAAACCACCAGGCATTGGGAGAGTCCCTGTTCCCCCGAGCACTCCCAGGAGTGACTAGAAACAACAGACACAAGTTAGCAGAGGGTAGATTCAGGCTAGAAATTAGGAGGTGCTACTTCACTGTCACTTCACCGGCTAGGATCTGGAACCAACTTCTAAGAGAAGTGGTGCTGGCTCCTACCCTGCAGGTCTTTAAAAGTAAGCTAGATGAACACCTGGCCGGGGTCATTTGACCCAGTACCCCTTCCTGCCATGGCAGGAGATCGGACTTGATGATCTTCTCAGGTCCCTTCCGACCCTACCAATTATGAAACTATGAAACTATAAGAGCCCTCAGTCTCCTGGTTAATTTCCGGGGTGTGAAGGGGAGGGGGAGGAAATTAGCAGATAATATAACCCCAGTATCTAGCCTAGCATTCAAAAGCAGCCTCAAATTGCTCCTGGTCAGCATCTACATGTGTGTTATTGCACAGTAGCTAACATGCTGTTAATCTAGCACCTGTATTTCCTGGTACTAGCAAATAGTGCATTAGCCTAATTTACAATGAAGTAAGTACTGTGCATGTGTAGACAGTGATGTTTTACCGAACATTAGATTAGTTCAACCATCCATGCAATGATTTCTATTTCTATTGAGTGCTTGTGAAGATAATGTGGAAAGAGACTCCTTTTAAATTATTCATACGCCCTGCAAATGCTGCATTTGCTTCTTTTTGCTCAAGGAAGCACATGTGGCCCCAAATACACCATTAGATGAAGACAGTTCTCTGGCTATTGCTATTATCCAGGAGGCAAGAGCCTTTATTAGTAGGAAGCTGAATTAAAGAGGCAGGTACCCCCAAAGAGAATGAGTCTGTAAGATTCCCTCCCCATTGTTTGTTTTGCTAAGGTGTATCTGGATGAAAAGAGTGTACATTCTCAATGATTCAAGTGAGTGTTAGTTTGGCAGTAAAACTACCAAGACAATGAATGAGAAGAAAGAACTGCCATCCCCTCCAGGAAATTAGTGACATACAACATCAACATTATGAGTGAGAAAAGAGGACCAGATGAGGGTCATCTGAGGGAAAGGGATGGAAGCTATACCTTCCTCTGGACAGATACACTCATAGCATTGGCTTTGACATCAAGAATCAGCTCATCAGTCAATTTATGGAGCTACTTTTGGGCATTAATGAACATCTTATGGCCCTCTATCTTAAGCTGTGAAACAGCTAGGAAGCCACCGAGATCAGTGTGTATGCCCAACACTTAATGCTGACAATGATGTCAAAGAAAAATTCTAGTCCAACCTTGACTACATACTGACTCTATGGCAGTGCACCTTTGAGTGCTTACCAGTTTAAAGGCCTGAACAGGCTGTGAGGCAACCTGCAGATGATAGCACAGACAATCAGGTGGTCACATCACAGCCAGGAGGCCACCTGATTGGAGCAGGGTGGAGCAGCCTCAGTATAAGATCAAGCCCTGAGGAGCAGAGCCAGCAACTGCTTCAGGGATGCTGCTGAGTTAACATTGCCCTGACTTCTGCTGCTCCTAGGAACATTCTGGAGGTCAGGGTAGGAGCTATGGGCATGGAGGAGGTTCCTAGGGACCCAATGCAGGGACCGAAGACCCAAAAATGTGAGGTGTGGGCTGTGAAGGGGCCAGCCTAGAAAAGGGGCTTAGAGTTTGTGGGCCTACAGAGGGGCTCAGATGAGACCAGTGGAGAAAAGGGCTGCTTGATATATAATTTCTGGGACTCTAGGCAATCCCAGCATGAGATGATGGTTTTATGGTGGGGCTCAAAGGGACTCCTGTGGTACAGAAAGGACAGCTGCTGCCAGACTGACCCTTTAAAGCTCAACTGGACAAAACAAGGGGGGCAGAGCAAATAGGCCAAAGGGCATGTATGCCCACCACGAGGGGCAGGCCAGGGCTGCAGAGATCTATTGGCACCCCAAGTGGCCTGTAGGTGGGGCCAGAACCTTAAAGAGGTAGAAGGTCCCCTCAATGGAAGGCGGGGGGGGGAGGGGCATCACTGCCAAAAGAGGCTAGGCTGTCAGCTGTCTAGCACGCTGATATGACATAAGGTGAAGACCAGCCTTCTGATGGGAGGTATCCTGTAAAGTCAGTCTGAGAGAGATGGGGCCAGGAGCCGAGAGTTATTCTATGAGATGGAGGCAGAAACAGTGTGTCCTAAGAATGAGCAGCCCAGGAAGAACATCCAGGAGCCCAGTGAGGGAAAGAAACATCAAGGCAGGTAGGCCAACAATGGTCCTGGGGAGTGACCTAAAACCACACCCTGCTGGGGTTTGATTGGATGGTGGGTCTGCCTGTGGCAGGGCAGTTCCCAGGAAATGCCACACTAGTGTCTCCCTAGTGAAAGGCAAGTATGGAGCACCAGAAAGCCTCAGCTCCCACTGCCTTTTGAGTGACCCTGTGCAGGGGAAAGTCTAGGGGAGCACACCCTGAGAGAAAAGCATCAGGTATGGGCATCAGCACAGGAGCCAGGAGGGCCTTAGGCTCAATGCTTGAATGAGGGATGCCTAGTGGGAGGCCTCAGTAGGAGTGAGGTCCAGGCACACTGACAGAAGCCTGAGGCTTGAGTGGGCTGTAGGCCAAGTTATCGGTCCAGGCACATCTGCAGATGCCTGGCACCTGAGTGGGCCATATGCCAAGAGTAGGGTCCTGGCACATTGACAGACACCTGAGGCCAAGGGGCATAAGACCCAGAAATCCCAATGAGGGGGAAGAGTAGTGACCCCAGTGAAGGGGTAGAGCGTGATGGACAAGAAGCTTACTGAGGGGCAAGGAACCCAGAGTGTGTGGTGGAGTAGAGGCCTCAGAGAGGGGGTGGAGTAGAGGCTCCAGACAGGGGGCATATGGCCCAGGTATGTCTAAGGACATCTGACGGCAAGTTGGGCCAAAGGCCAGGCCAAGGTATGTCTGAGGATGCCTGAGGCCAAGTTTAGGCCAGAGGCCAAGTGTAGCCCAGCAATGGGGCCGGGGGAATTAGAAATCATTATGGATGCCATCTGCAAGGCATGGGACATGGTAAAGGGAAAGTTGGAGCTGAGTATTATGCCCTTGGCATCAGGGCATTAAATGGGCAGCCTCCTGCCTACAAACAACTATTCATTTACAAAAAGGTGTGGCAGATGAGTCAGGCAGGTGGACTGCCCTAGAGAGGTGGGTGGCCTGATATTGTGACTGATCCAGGGATAGCCCCCTGTCACAGACTCATATTTGTAAGAAGGACAAGCTCATTCTCCTTGCCAGCAGTGGACATGACCTGGAATTCTGGAATGGCACCCTTGAGAAGGAAGGAGTAGGGAAAGCCAACTGTAATGGCACCCATCTCTTGAGCAAATGCACAGAGCACAGAGAAGTTTTGTCATCACAAACTGTATCTTCAGACTCAGTGACAAATATAAGACCACATGGAAACACCCATACACTAAGCACTGCACCTCCTCACTATGTTATTTTTAGAGTTCATGATCAAATGGATGTGAAGATCACATGAACCATGTTAAGAAACAATACTGCTTGACAGATCACCATCTTTTCAGATCCATTATGAACATCTGACTTGCTTCAAAACACTGAAAACAGACAAAAGCAATATGAAGGACTATCAGCATCAAATCTTTTCAAGACCTCAAGGTCCATAACACTCTCCAACAGTGTCTCCATAAAAAGCTCTCTGCTCCATGTACAAATTAAAGTAGCATCAAGGAACTTGCTGTAACACCCATGGACACCAAGACCTGGGATCTCTTGAGCGTACATTGAAAACATTTCATACAAGCAGGACATTATCTGCCATGCTTCTCCTGCCTTATCTGTGGCAGATTAGGATATTAGGTCTCTGTTGTGTCAGAGTTGATGGTGGTCTTATGTAGAGTTTAGATTATGGTTTGTATGGGATGGTTTGGATAGGGATGATCCTGCCTCAGGCAGGTGGTTGGACTAGGTGACCTCTGGAGGTTCCTTCCAGCCCTATGTTTCTATGATTCTATGGTTTGATGGCAGCAATGCTGAGATCCAATCCCTCCTCAGCTGGAAGAGAAGGGCTCATTTCAGTTTTCAAGATGAAACTTCATCTCAGCAGAAGAAGGAGATGTATACAGCCCTGAAAGCCAAAGCTCAAAAGAGGATCCAGGAAATCAAAAATCAGTCATAGCAAAATTAAGCCAGGGAGATACAGATCCATGCTAATCAATATAATATGCATAGAACTTTTTAGGTAATGAAAGCCATCTATGGCTTAACTTTTCATGGTCATACTTCCTGTGATCATAGGATGGCTTAACTCCATGAATTTATTGTATGAATGAAGAGATCCCTGGGGACCTGAGGAATGCCAACACCATGATTATCTTCAAGAAAGGAGATGTGTGCATGTGAAAACTATTGAGGTAAACACAGGGTATTTTTTAATGTTATCCAATATCATTTCCCAAACTTAGGAATCAAAGATAGTGTAAATTGAAATAATCTATATGCTTGTCAAAACAGAGACTTGTCTTTAACAGAAGGTATCATTACCAACTCAAAAGAAGTGGGCACATTTTTAATATGGCAGATTGACTTTGAAGTTACTAGATCACGTTCAAAGGAATCCAGAACAGATGCACATAGACATGTAGTTAACTTTAGAGGTAGGAGACCACATGGTAGAGTAGTCAAAATAAAGTTAGTTAGCATCTGAGAGAGAGAGAAACTAGGAAAGAGACTGACAAAACTTATTACTTAAAGCAGCAGCTGAGGAACTGTTTGAAAACTTATGAAGTCTTTAGTCTTTACTTCTCTCCATCCTTAAAATGTCAAAAAAGCAAAAAGAATAGAAAGAAAATGCTGCTGCTTCTCCTGTCTCTACATCACATTCAGCCATTTTGTTACTGTCCCGGGAGGCAAAGTAATGAATGGGACTCACCTGCAGCTCAGGATGGGACGCGCATGAGGCGGAGGGAGGAGTCTGTGCGGCTCATTAGCCGCCTTTTTGTTCAACTGCGGCCAGCTGGTGACATCACTGATGGATGCCAGCCAGCAGCGATAAAAACGGTGGCTGTGGCCACAGAGGGGGCAGGTAGCCCAGGTGAGGAGCAGCAGCCATCACCATTGGCAAGAGGAACTTCTGCTGTAAGAATCGTGGAGCCAGGAGAGCTGACTGGGATGTGGACAGAGCGGGGCCAAACCTCCCAACTGAAGACTGCACTGGACAACACTGGAGCTGGAGATACGGCACCTGAGGATGTGGCTGGAAGAGCACCAGGGGGTGAAGCGACCCACTGGTGGGGTACCGGGATGACGGGGCACACAGACAGTCTTGCTAGGGAGAAGAGACCCCGGGAGAGCCCTAAGGGGGTATAATTGGGGCAGGCATCACCACCAGGTGCAGATAGAGTATCGAGCAAGAGGGAGGTTCTGGACAGGCTCAGAAGGAAAATGACTTAACAGTAAGTAATTCTCCTGGTTGTATCTCTGCAGTAA